AATTCTTCTCATAGTAGTTACCTATTTAATGAATTCTTAAAACATATTTCAGGACAAATCATTCTCCCCAGGGTAATTTATTATAGCAATATATAAACTGCACAGAAATGTTAGATTACACACATACAAAAAAAAATCAAAGTATACAACTCAAATTTAATTCTCAGATAAAAGAGACACCAGAAAACCAAACAATAATTTATTATAATATTGCATTTATATCCCACCTTTCTTCCTTGTGAGGAGGCCAAGGTGGCTTACAGAGCTCCATTTTGTCCTCAAAGCCACAACCCTGTGAGGTAGCTTAGGCTGAGAGTAAGTGGCTGGGCCAAAGACACCTAATGACATACAGCATCACAACACCAGAAAAGCAGCATCAGCAAGACAACCCACATGCATTCCCTTCATAACAGTTGCAGGTGAGGCCTGCAACAAAAAGTTGCAGAATGGAGTGCACCTGTGCAGAGTGCTAGCTATGCCTTCTTCCAGGAAACTCCTCTGTCCTGGTCCCCCAATTCCGCCAGCACTTAATGGCTGCTGAGCATACTCAGTCTTCAAAGGGCTGGTTTAGAGTCTCATTGCTCCCTTGAGGCAGGGGTCCTAACATTTTTCTTTAAAAATTGCTGTGAATCTTGGAGTTTCCAAGGGTCTGCTATTACCTGGTTCTTCTGCATGGATTTGGGATACAAAGATCTACCCCCACAGAATGACTATGCTATTAGCGATAAGTATGCTAAAAATATAGGCCCATTCCAGATCCCCTTGGGGGAGTGTCCAGTTCATCTGGCCATATTCTCCCCAGTGGCCTCAGCCCTTTCCCCTAACAACTGATAGCATGGTGGTTTAGAAACACAGAAACAGAGTGAGTCAGATGGGGTCTCCTGGACCGTCTAGTCTGACCCCTGGCTCCGCTCATGACATGCCCACCATGTGCATGTCCAACCTATCCTTGAACACCCTCACCGGTGGGGCCTCAACCACCTCCTGTGGAACCAAGTTTCTCCAAGTTGGTTTCCTTTTCCTCCTAAAGGATGAAATACCTCTTCCTAATAAAAGCTTTATGCTAAAACATGCTGGTATTTTGGCTCCACTCCTTCTGCGCCAGCCCATGTTTCCATCCGCGAAATATGGCCCCTGGAAGCTCCTCCAAAACAGAATCCGGCCCTTGGACTGAAAGAGCTTCTGCAGTGCAGGTATGATGGATCAGATCCCAGGGTTGTTTACATACCAATTACACCAGTGATAAAAATCAAGCCATCGTCACCACTCTGAGTGTGGTTCGTGGTCATGCGCACCCAGAGTGTTTATTTCCCTGTGCGCCAACCCTCCTCCTGCAGGCTTCACTGCTACGGCACCAGCCCTTCCCTGTGCTTCCATGTACTGCAGCTCTGGCGATGTCAGATGCGCAGCGCATAAAAGCACAAGAGAAACAGAGGAAATGATCTGCTGCATTTTTCCCAGTGACTAAACCTTGAGCCACTGCAATTAGGGCCACAGGGTTCTCTCAATGGCTACTAAGAGCTGAAGCGTTCATTCATAAGCTCTGCAAGCTGCTGGTTTGAGGTCAGGGAGATGACTGGTCTTTCCACAAACAAAACATCTGCTGTCCTGGAAGTAGCACTTCCTTTAAGTGGATGACTCACAGCCTTGCCAGGAACAACCAAGACAGACACAGGGGAAGGAGTCGCACATTGTTTCCCCATTTAGTGCAGGGGAAAAGCACACAGGAAGCCACAGTGGAAACTTCCTACACTGCCATGCTCAGAAAACAAAATTCTGCAATATATTTAGATGGACGGCCTATCTGACTTCATAGGACATCTGCAGGACCTCAGACAGCGTCAGAACTACCGGCTTTGGCCAACTCCAGCCATGAGTTGAGTCCATAATTAATCTGAAGGAACCAACAAAAGGGTATTAGAACTGCCAAACACTGCCTAGATTTAGCCCCTCAATGCAATGATGGTGCAACAGTTACCGGATTTGGCCTTATAAACCCTGCCTGGGGTCTAAAAACTTTTACAACAACATTTAGAACAATGTGGACTACACACTTTAAAACAAGATTCTAAAAATCTCTAACAGAGTTTAGGGGACATAGTTGACCTCCTAGGCTGCATGCTGCAGATTTAGAAACTAATATACACTGTGAGAGTGCAGTTGGAATTAGGACGCAAAAAGACCTAAACTCAATTGCAGATTCATTTCTATCCTTAGGGTTATGCTCTAGAGAAAGAACACTGAGCCCAATAACGGCGGTTCATAAGGACGCCAAAGCATTTTGCAACCAGAATAGCACAGGCACCCACAGTAACTATCTTAAGACAACCTGAACTGGGCATAGCATCGTATCTGAATAGTAACTGAAGTACACTGTTTAAAAGAGAAAATGGAAAGGACCCTTAATTCAGTGGGGAGGCCCTAAGTGTTCTGTGCACAGATGGTGATGGATTCCACCTAGTGGGATCCAACCTGTATCCTTTTACACACTCTCAAATTTTAAACATACTTCAATGGAAAGAGAAGCACAGAGATCCTTAAAAGCACTAGGCCTACACTTTTCTTTTCTGGAAAAGGAAAGCGAGAATTCTAAAAAAAATACAGCTCTTAATTTTATTTTTGCAATCCTCTCTTGTCATAATTACAGTCTGAACATGTTTCACAAGCTCAGAATATCAGATGTTGGTTTTCGAGACATCCTGCGGTGGTGTACTGAAAACCTTGATCAGCTTTCAAAGCCAGACTGGGTTTTTTCCCCCCTTCTTCCTTTTCTACCACAGTATACTTTACAGAGCCACTGTTGTGAATGGAAGGACACTATTTAAAGGGAACTTTTGCAAAAATGCAAAATAAAAGAAAAACTTAGCCCAAATCGTGGGTGCTGCTTGAATCATGCAAAATAGCCGTTACTGAAACCAAAACCGTGGCAAAGCAAGCATGCCATTGGATGCCGATCAAACCCGATCAGTGCGGCCAATGGTCAGGGATGATTGGTGAAGTAGTCCACCAACATCTGGAGGGTTGAGGGATGATTTCACATCACAAAAGCAATGTAGGGTGATTAGGAAAGCTGCTAACATCCAGAATAGGTTTCCAGAACACAAGGCACTGGGGTTCATGCTCTGGAAATAAAGTTTCTGGGATGTATTACACTCCCTCCTACACACACACACACACACACACAGTACAATGTAAAGAACAGGGGACTTAAAGCACACAGACTCCCTTTGTCTACTGGAGTCCCTGCAACATGCAAATTAAAGGCATGTTGCCATGAAATCATTCCATTCTCCTACACCATATAACTGAATTCATTCTTATAAAGCAGGCTCAAAATAATATCCTATTTTTTAAACACAGATGTTTTTTACTCCTGTCATAGATGCCCCGAGAAGCATCTCTCCTTTGTCATTATTATCACATCTCCCTTGCGCTAAGTCATGCCCCAGGACTCTGGTTTTCACTGACACACACGGCTAATCTGGAAAGCCTCACCCGCAGGGCACCAAGTCATGAGCTGGCTGACATTCTGAATATGCAAGCTGTGGCAAGGGCTTGCTGTGCTTTGCAAACCCATGCTGCATGGGTTGAGGGTTAAACAACCTTCCAATAACCCTACAGCAAGCTACTGGTGGCCAGGGCATGTCTTAGAACCCCATGGGTTAATTAACCCACAGTAGCTTACCCTAACCTTACAATCAGGTTACTGTAAAAGCTTCAAGCAAATTTTACCTCCTCTTCACCCTTATCAACTGTCTTGGCCTCTTCTCTTCTTCCACCACATTTACTAACACTGCTTCTTGCTGCTTCTATCTTGCCCAAGTCTTACAGGGCACCAGTTCCCAAACATGTCTCTTTCCTCTGTCACAGCTCCACAGGAGCGGGTGCGGCTCAGAGGAAAAGCACAGGGTCTGAATGCAGGCGGGCTCAGGTTCGAATCTTACCATCTCCAAGTAGAAGATTCCTGGGTGGCAGGTGATAGAAAATAGCTGCAGACAATCGGCTGACAAAGCAGGCTGGACGGACACAAAGTCTGACCTGGTATGAGGTCCACACGTGCTTTCGGTTTCCTAACTGCCGCCCTTACAAATTGTTACACAGCCATCCAAACTGCCCCCTGCTGAACTTCCTTACTCTTTAAGTTTTACACTAGATTCATTCACAACAAACATGTCCATTTCCACCCTGACGAGTTTCTTCTTCCAAATAAGGCCAGACTTCCACATTGCACATTTTTGTTTTGTCTGCTTTTCAGAGAAATCTCACCATGAGGTAGGAAACCCCTGTCATTCATCTGTGGTTGATAATTCTTATAAATGCAAGCTGCAGTAGCAGAAATACCACAGCGATCCCACCAGTGTAACAAAAAGTGCTCCTAATTTCCTTCTAGTTTTAGCTGCTTTTCACTACGTGGTTTGCATTTATACAAACTACTTCAGCAATAAATACACTATTGAAACTATTGAAGACTCATACATTGCTGGCTGCATTCAGTTACTGGAATGCAGTTTGGCAGGTTTATTTTAATAGATTTTAGATATTCATTCATTCCTTTTAATTCCTAATCTGCTTCTCCATCACATGTTGTCCAAGGTGCTTGAGAAAATGTGACCGACAGGCAGGTTAAAAGGAATACAAGCAATCGGAGAATTAATAGGCTAAGAAAGGAATATGCACATTTCAAAGAACTTCATTTCTCCCTCTTCCTCTATTGCAGGGATAAGGAAAATGTAGGTATTGGACTACAAAGCCTATCACTGCTGGCTACACTGGCTAGTGCAGTGCAACATCTGGGGTGAGGGTCACACATTCCCTTGCTCTGTTACCTTCCTCATACCTTTTTCTAGAATGCAAGTACTTTGGGGAAGATATGTAACCTCCTAGCCACAAATATGGACAAAGCTAAGTAAATCATAGATCCGGATTCATCTACTGGGGAGCTGGATGACTGGGGTAAACCGTGTTTCTCCCAGCTAGGAAAGAAGAAAGCGTACGCGTACCTCTTTTGTGGAGCCAGCCTTCTTTCACTATTGCGACTTCATTCATAATGACAAAGCACGTCTCAACCTTCGGTCTGCAGCACAGAGAATGGTTCTTCTCCCCTTCTGACTCCTTCCTTTTTTTTCAGCTATTCCTGTTGAAAGTGAAAGGAGGGGCAAAAACACCAACAGACCATCAATTCACACACAAAAGTTGTTAAAGACACCAAAAACAGGTATAAATACAAACCTAGGATAGGAGTTACTCTGCTTTCAAAACTAGAACCACAAACACACCCCAAAAGCACAAGACAGGAGCTACACCAAACAAGGGGGCATATACAGTAATGTGAGGATTCCTCTGAGCAAAATATGGAAACAGCTCCACAATTACAAGCGACATCAGTCAAAGAAAGAATAAAGATCTCTTCGTTACAACCCTACAGTTCATGAAATGCACATTTTCCCAGCAAGGCTTTAAAACTCAAGTTTACTGGTTGAATGTGGCTGGAACCCACTTGCCTGCCTTCTCCCACAGCAAGGCAGAATTCTACATGGCTGCATCCACATGAACATGAGGAAGTGGTGTCTGATACGGCCACCAGTTATTCGAGAGGGTGTGTCTCATTTCACACTAGTCTTATGAGCAGAACTGCTCTGCCGGGTAAACAGGGCATAGTTTAAAATCACATGATGTGCAGGGTTCACTAGAGGATGGTGAATCAAGCCAGATTCTTGGGAGCTCTCAGAGAATTTCCGCCTAGCCTGACCACATGCTTCAGCTGCTCTGTAACAGATCCAGGTTAAGGTGTATGATTGATCCTAGGCATTCCCCCACTTCCAGGCTCCGATCATGGATGCGCAATCTTTTCACCCTTAAGGGCTGAATGTCAAGCTGACTTGCAGGGTTGGAGGCTGCACAAGCATGGATACGGATAGAGAGACAGCGTGTCATAGCGGTTAGAGTGCAGGACTGGGACTTAGATCCGGGTTCAAGTCCCTGCTCAGCCATGATGTTCGCTGGTGTCTCTGGACCAGGCATGGCGCCTCAAGCTCACCCACCTCGCAGATGTATAAGAGGACTGTATAAGCCACCTTGGGTTCCTTGCGGGGAAAAAAGGGGATATAAATATATTTTTAAAAACATACTAATGCCTGGCCCTGCTCTCACATATGTGCACACCAGCAGTCCTAAATGATCACTGCTTGCTCACTGGTATCAGTAACAGAAAAAGAGGGCTCTATATCAGGAGCATGGGGGGTGGCAAATATGTATTCCCCCCCACCACACGAGACTAGACTCCTCGCTTTGTAGAAAGCTAGCAAGTTGGGTAAATAGTTTGCTGAAAGTCTTCCTGCTGATGTGTTCCATCTACCTCATCCCAATTAGCAATCTGCTAGGAAGTGGCATTGTCCCAATGAAAATACACTACAAGGGTTTTTTTTTGTGTGCACACTGATCAGTTTTTGCATCCAAATGGCTGCACTCGAGAGTGGGGTAGTAAACAATTCCACTGAAATGTTCTCATCTGTTATCAGTTCGTGATTTTTTTAAAAGAAATTAAGACTAAATTCATCTGCCATTTGAAGCTAGACAAACACCAAGCTATGAGTCACTCAGTAAATATATATGCTGAAGCATGGGGCTTCCTGGACTACCTACCACTATTGGGGGAAAGAGGGGGGACTTGTATATCCCCCCTCTGTCCCCCAGTTCTGAAAAGCCAGATGGTCAAATAGCGTGTGACTTCAGAAAATGGGAAAAGACACAAACAACAGGAAGGGAAAGGATGCAGAACAGAAGCTTTAAAGAATATCCTGTGTGTACTGCACTTGAACAGAACAGTCAAAATGTTCCAGGACAAAGTGGTCCACTTATTCTTAATTAATTAATTTCTATACTGCCCATTAGTCAAGACGACATCTGTGACCAAAGAAGATGAATTCTATTCTGCAAATTTCCATCTTACTACTTGCTTTGCATCATATTCTACAATAAATCATGGGGAAAGCAAGGAAACACCACACCCTGACCACTGGAATGCCTACTGAGTCACTGCCCCTCCACATCCCTTCTTACCTTTTAGATTTGACTGGAAACTATTCACAAACTTCTCAGTCTTAAGCCAGGCCTAACCATATATTCCCCTCCACTCTGCAGCTCTCCATAAACAACCAACTATTCAAGAGATGTTCTTCAAAGCTTTAAGATCTTCTCCCTTATACAGACCCTGATTCACAGAAAATTAGAAATGAGGTTTCCTTTTGATCACCCCTCTATCAGAGGTTAGACTGTCTTCTGACTTCTCACACAGCCTTGTTAGCGGTGGGCCCCAAATATGGGGGAAGCATTATTTTCCCTATACTTCAGGGGGTTACTGAGAGAGAGTGCTTTACTTCCCCATTCCACTTTGCCAGCTTAGGTAGGGAGAGGCCTGGTCTAGATAATCATCTCTCAGTTTA